GGCCCGGAACACCGTGGCTCAGGCGGTGACAGTTACCCGCTTCTGCGTGGGAAGCGCGGGAGCGTGCCGAGCCTGGGGTCTGGGCTTCTATTTTTGCTCTAGTTGTACCTGAAGGGGACCATCATCATCAGTCTTCATCTCCTCCGCAGGAGGCTGTTGCTAGGAGACTGAGATCATTTTATGTAGCACGCTGTGTCCCGTAGGTGCCCGGTTTCCCCACCAGCAGGAAGAGGTGCTGACCCTTCCTTCTTTACAGCTAGGACCGTTTCTGGCTTTGGCGGTCCGGAGGTGTCCGTCTCCTCACCTAACTGCTTTTGGGTTCCCCACTGGGCAGGATCAGAGGAGAACTGTTTCACCAGCTGTTGAATCCCAGCGAGTGCGCCTCCACTGGTGCCACATTGATCTATCTGCCAAACGAGGGGTTGACTGATGTGCTAGGTCCTGACTGTCAGTGTTCAGGCATCTGCACTGGCCTGGCCTTGGGGTCTGACAGGATGCGCCCTCAGCTGCAGCCACCGTCTGTGCACATTCACCATGTTTCCCTAAGGGTTCTGCCCACCTCCCATCCTCACTCCCTCTCTCTTTCTCTCGTTTCTATCTCTGTCTCTCTCTCCCTCCTTCTCTCCCCCACTTCCCTCCCTCCTGGTGCTCCTGTCTTCCCCCTCCCCTTTCCCCTTTTTATGACCCCTTTCCCTAATGCCGCCCCCCTCCGCTCTTGAACCCTGTAGCATGGCATCTTTCTCTGGCTTTTCTTACATTACAACACCGGCTGATTGTAATTTGGGGTTGTAATCTAGCTCCCTGGAGTTCTTTGAGGCATAGAACTGACTGAAAGACAATTTATTCCAAGATTTGGGGGAACTTCTCGGATGTTCCCCTGGTTCATAGTATGACTGGAAGCTGGTGGCTATTGATTATAGTGATGTCACCAGCCGGGGATTGGGACCAGAAATTTCAGAACGAGTGCACATGAAAATACCTTCAAAAGAGGTTGCAGAAATTAGAACCTAACTTTAGTTGGGTTTCATAATTATGTGGCAATAGTGTCTGGATTTTCCTAAAGCCACATTCTTATTGTTAGTCTTTAAACCAAGGGTCCTAATTGGAGCTAGAGTGTAGTCCTGCTGTTGTTTAAGATCTGCAAAGATCTGCTTTGAGATTTTTATATGGCAATTTAAGATAGAAATTTGATGTACCCTGTTTAAATGACTGTTCACTTTCCTTAATATTTATAGTTAATGTTTGCCTTAATTCTGATGTTACTAAAACAAGTTCATAGAATTTCATTAGTCCTGGGATGTATTTCGTCCAGGCCTGGCAAGTTAGTATTGCAGCATTCAGGGTCCACCCCAACCTTTTCTATGCTACTGTGTAGCACCCTTTAGCTCAGTGAAAACTAGCCAGCAGGAAATAAGTTAGTATGTCAGTTTCAGCTTGCTTTCTCTGTGTACTTTAAGCAAATTGAAATGTGTGTTCACAATAGGATCTTCCATTGAGTTATGGTGAACAGCTAAGAGCAGTGGTGGAGAACTGTATTGTTTGGGTACCTCTGGGGCCTCCTTCCACCTCTTAGGGAGGAATTTCCCAGCCAGTACCGAGATTTTCATTTAATAACCCACGTCTTTGGGGGAAGCATTCTTCACCCATGCAGGGAACCCCCATTTAAATTCATTTTAAAAACAATTCTGTTTTTCAGTTAGCTTACAAAGTAGTGGGTTTCCTTGAGGTCCTTTCATACATCCTTAGTCTTAGATTATTGTAGCCTCTGCTCTACCCATTCTCTATTCCATCTTCCCCCACATACTATTTCATGGCACATATGCTCTGCTGAACCCCCTTTCCTTAAGGTTTCTCTACTCTCATCTTTGGCTTTTTGTAGCTTCCTGACTGCCACAGACACTAAAAGTTAAGCACCCAAATCTAAAAATTTGAAGCTAGGATCCATATATGATACAGAACAAGTGGTATTTGTATTTCTTGGCCTGGGTTGCCTCATTCCATATAATATTTTCCAGTCCCTTCCATTTTCTTATAAATTTCATGTTTTTTTTCTACACACCTTAATAAAACTCCATTGTGTGTGTGTGTGTGTATATATATATATATATATATATATATATATATATATATCTTTTCATTTTCTGTTCATCAGTTGGTAGACATTCAGGATGGTTCCATGTAACAATAAGTCTTTCCACCAGCCACCCAAGCCTCACTGCCACATGGGCACCCAAAATAACACACAGAGTCTTATATTAGTTACAATGCTGCTAGCCAGTGACTAGGATTTCTCATCTGCTAGGTCAGTCTTAATTATCAACCACAATCATAAGACTTATCTTATGGAGGATGGTGGTGGAAGGTGTCCTATCTTCCTGGGCTCACATGGTGGCTCCACAGAGAAGAGGAGGAAGAGAAAGAGAGTGACTTCCTTCTTGCCCTGCTTATATTCTGAGTCTGCCTGCTATGTCACTTCCTGTCTGGATCTCTTTACTACATTTCCCAGAATCCTCCTCGACTCTTAATCCCACCTATATTTCTGCCTCATTGGCCAAGCAGTGCTTTATCCAACAACCAATAAGATAAACATACACAGAAGGATGTCCCCCATCAGTTCCATTTCCTAGCTATTGTCAACAGAGCAGCAATGAACATGGATGTCAGAGTATCTCTGTAAGAAACTATTGAGTGTTTTGAATATAAACCTAGGAGTGGTATAGCTAGGTCATGTGTACTTCTATTTTTTAGCTTTCTGAAACCGACTTCCTGTCTTAGTTACTTTTCTGCTGCTGGGACAAAACTTCGTAACCAAAAGCATTGTGGTACCGAAAGGGTTTCTTTGGCTAACATATCCTGAATCATAGTCCATTGAGGGAAGCCAAGGCAGGAGCTCAAACCAGGCTTCTGGAGGCAGGAGCTGATGCTAAGGCCATGGAGGTTGCTGCTTACTGGCTTGCTCCTCCTGACTTGCTCATCCTGCTTTCTTATAGAATACAGAACATCAGCTCATGTGGTACCCAGCCACTGTGGACCAACCCCTTCCACATCAACTGTTAATTAAGAAAATGCTCTGCAAGTTTGTCTACAGCTCAATCTTACGGAGGCTTTTTTCTTTTTTTCCAATTAAGACTCCCCCTCTTAGATGACTCTAGCATGTGTGAAGTTGACATAAAACTATCCAAGACACTTTCATAGGGTTTTCACTAATTTACATTCCTACCATCAGGAGGCAAGTTTTTACCTTTACTGGTATCTTCTCCTGTGGTTTTTGTTGTTGTTGTTTGTTTGGTTGGTTGTTTTTTTGTTGTTGTTGTTTTTTTTTTTTGGTTTTTCAAGACAGGGTTTCTCTGTGGCTTTGGAGGCTGTCCTGGAACTAGCTCTTGAGACCAGGCTGGCCTCGAACTCACAGAGATCCGACTGCCTCTGCCTCCCGAGTGCTGGGATTAAAGGCGTGTGCCACCAACGCCCGGCTTGTTTGTTTTTTGATGGTAGCTGTCATCATTGGGGTGAGATGGAATCTCAAAATAGTTTCCCTGGTAGGTAATACACTTTTAAAAATGTTTACTGGCTGCTTGTGTTTATTCTTTTGAAAATGTTCTGTTCAGTTCCATACCACCACCACCACCCCTATTTTTTTTTTTTTTTTTTGATTGGGTTATTTTTCTTGAGTCCTTTGCATCTTCTAAATACTCTACATTGGGTATATAACTAGCAAAGATTTTCTCCCCTTTTGTAGGCTGCCTCTTCATTCAATTGACAATTTTCTTTGCTATATAAAACCCTTTGAATTTGATGAGATTCCTATTTGCTTATTGGTCTTATCTCCTGAGTGATAGAAATTCTATTCAGAAAGTCTCTACTATGCTGGTGTCTTAGTTAGGGTTTTATTACTGTGGAGAGACACCATGGCCGTGGCACCACTCATAAAGTACATAAAGTAAAGCATTTAATTGGGAATGGCTTCCAGTTCATAGGTTTAGTCCATTATTGTCATGGCAGGAACATGACAGCGTGCAGGCAGACATGGAACATGGTACTGGAGGGAGACATGAGAGTTCTACATCCTGTTTAGCAGGCAGCAGGAAGAGAGAGGGCCAGGGGGCTTGGCTTGGGCTTCTGACATCCGAAAACCAAGGGCACACCTACTCTAACAAGGCCACACCTCCCAAGAGTGCCATTCCTTATGAGCCTATGGGGCCATTCCATTCACACCACCACAGCTTGTATCTTGCAATGCACCCCCTCCTTTTGTCTGTAGTAGTTTCAGAGTATCAGGTCTTGCGTTGAGGTCCTTGATCTGTTTGGAGTTGACTTTTGTGCAGTGTAGGAAGTAAGGATTTATGTCATTCTTCTGCTTGTAGATAACCAGTTTCCCTGCCACCATTTGTCGAAGGTGCTATCATTTCTCCAGATGGCCATAGTTCCATTGGTCTTCTATTCCATTGGTACAAGTGTCTCTTTCTGTGGCAATACCAAGTCTTTCTTATTACTCTAGGTCTGTCATATAACTTGAACTCTG